ATGACTAAGTGGGATTTATCCCAGTTATGCAAGGCTGGTTCAACATTTGAAAATCAATTAATGTAATTCATCACATCAAAAGACTAAAAAAGAAAAAGACACGAGCATACCAATAGATGTAGCAAAAGCATTTAACAATATCTAGCATCCTTCATGATTTTTAAAAAACTTTCAAAAGAAAAAACAAGAAATAGAGTGAACCTTCCTCAACTTGATAAAGAATGTCTACAAAAGGTCAGGCGTGGTGGCTTATACCTGTAATTTTAGTGCTTTAGGAGACTGAGGTGGGAGAACCACTTGAGGTCAGGAGTTTGAGACCAGCCTGGGCAACATAGTAAGACCCTGTTTCTTACCCAAAAAAAAAAAAAAGCTAGGTGCAGTCACACACACCTGCAGTCCTAGTTACATAGGAGGCTGAAGTGGGAGGATTGCTGCCTGAGTCTAGGAGATCAGGGCTACAGTGAGCAAGATGTACTCCAGCCTGGGTGACAGAATGAGACCCTATCACTAAACAACACCAAAAAGAACATCTACAAAAAAGCTACAGCTACATAATAATTAATGATGAGAAACTCGAAGCTTTCCTACCAAGATCAGAAAGAAGGCAGAATGTCCTCTTCCATCATTCATTTTCAGCACCATACTGAAAGCCCTACCTAATTCAATAAGACAAACAAAAAAGAAGAAGAAGGAAATGGAGGAGGAGGAGGAAGAGGAGGGGAAGAAGAAGAAATAAAACACATATGAGATTGAAAGGAAGAAATAAAACCATCTTTGTTTACCCATGACATGATTATCTAGGTAGAATAACCAAAAGAACCAACATAAAAACTCCTAGAGCTGGTAAGTGATTATAGCAAGGTTATGTACAAGGTTAATATACACAAATCAATCACTTTCCTGTACACCAGCAATGAACAAGTAGAATTAGAAATTAAAAGCATGACACTAATTGTACTAGCATTCCAAAAAGTGACAAAATATGTATAAGCCATACATGAGGAAAATTATAAAACTCTGATAAATAATAAATTAAAAATGAAACAAACTGAGAGATATTTCAAATTGGGAGAACCCAATATTGTCAAGGTGTCAGTTCTTCCTAACTTAATCTATAGATTCAATGCAATCCTAATCAAAATCTTAGCAAGTTATTTTGTGCATGTTGACAGACTGATTTTAAATTTTATATGGAGAGGCAAAAGACCCAGATAGTCAGTACAACATTAAAGAAGAACAAAGTTAGACAACTGACACTACCCACTCTCAAGACTTACTAAAATTACAGTAATTAAGACAGTGTGGTATTGACAAAAGAATAGAAAACAGATTTATGGAACAGAATGTAAAGCTAAAGAAACAGACCCAAATGAATATAGTCAACTGATCTTTGAAAAAGGAGTAAAAGCAGTAAATGAAGCAGATAATATTTTCTTTGAGCTGGTAAGTGATTATAGTGCTAATTGTTGTCTAATTGTTGTCTATGTATTAAATCATAAAGCACTGACAAAAAAGTTCTGGAACTAATAAGAAATTATAGCAAGGTTGCAGGATACAAGGTCAATATACAAAGATCAACTGTTTTCCTATATACCAGCATGAACAAGTAGAACTTAAAATTAAATTCAAAGCATAATACCATTTACCATCCCAGAAATGAAATACTTAGATATAAATCTAAGAGAAATATTTATAAGAATTATATGAGGAACACTAAAAACCTCTGAGAAAAAGAAATAAAAGAACTAACTAAATAAATATATCCCATGTTCATGGATAGAAAGACTCAGTATGTCAGTTCTTCCCAACTTGATCCCAGCAAGTTATTTTGTGGATATCAACAAACTGACTCTACAATTTATATAGAGGAGCAAGAAACCCAGAATGGCCAACATAATAGTGAAGGAGAGGAATAAAGTTGGAGGGACTAACAATACCCAAGATGTACAAATACCCAGTTTTAAACATCTTTAAAGACTTACTATAGAGCTACAGTAAAAAGACAGTGTGATATTAGCAAAAGAATAGGTATATTGATCAATGGACTAGAACAGAGAGCCTAAATAGAAACTTACATCAATAGGGTCAAGTGATCTTTGACAAAGGAAAAAAGACAATTAAATGGAGAAAAGGCAGTCTTTTTAACAAATAGTGCTGGAACAATTAAATATCTACATGCAAAATGAATTTAGACACAGATGTATATTCTTCTCAAAAATTAACTCAAATTGGTTCATAGACCTAACTGTAAGATGCAAAATTGTAAAATTCCTAGAAGATGACATATGAGAAAACCTAGATGACCTTGGGTATAATAATGACTTTTTAGACACAATACTAAAGGCATCCCTGGAAGAAAGAATTGATAAACTGAACTATTTTTTGATTGAAAATGTTTACTCTGCAAAATATACTCTCAAGAGAATGAAAGGAAAAGTCACAGAATGGGAGAAAGTATTTGCAAAAGACATATCTGATAAAGGATTATTACCCAAAATATATAAAAAGAACTCTTAAAACACAACAAGAAAATCAATTTAAAAATTCAATTTAAAAATGGGCAAAAAACATGAATGGAAACCTCACCAAAAAAGATATACAGATGGAAGCTAAGCATATGAAAAGATGCTCACCTTCTTATGTCATTAGATAACTGCAAATTAAAACAATGAGCTATCACTAAACAAGGAGAATGACAAAACTCAGAACAGTAACACCAAATGCTGGCAGGGATGGGGAGCAACAGAAACTCTCATTCATTGCTGATGGGGATACAAAATGGTACAGTTACTTTGGAAGATGGTTCAGCAGTTTCTTACAAAACTAAACATACTCTTAACATCTGATGCAACAAGTGTACTTCTTGGTATTTACTCAAATGTGTTGAAAAGTTATGTCCACACAAAATCTGCATGCAAAAGTTTATAGCAGGTTTAATCATAATTGTCAAAAGTTGGAAGCAACCAAGGTGTCTTTCAATAGGTCAATAGATAAATAAACTGTGGTGTATACATTCAATTGACTATTATCCAGCACTAAAAGGAAATGAGCTATCAAGTCATGAAAATACATGGAGCAAACTTAAATGCACATTACTATGTAAAAGAGGCTAATCTGAAAAATCTACTATACGATTTCAACTCTATGACATTTCAGAAAAGGCAAGCTATGGAGACAGTAAAAAAGATTAATGGTTGCCAGGGGTTGTGAGGAAGAGAGGGAAGATTTTTTAAAAGCACAGGAGTTTAGATCAGTGAAACTACTCTGAATGATTAATATCATTACACATTTGTCCAAATTCATAGAACTTACAATGCCAAAGATGAACACTAAGGTAAATGATGGACTTTGTGATTATGATGTGTCAGTGTAGGTTATTGACTGTAACAATTGCATGACTCTGGTGGGGAATGTTGACAGTGGGAGAAGCTGTGTACATATGGAGGCAGTGGGGGTATATGGGACGCTTCTACCTTTTATCTAATGTGGCTGTGAATATAAAATTGCTCTACAAAGTTAAGTCTATTTTGAAAAGTGGGGAGCACAGTGCAGAGAGAGCCTGGAAAGGCAGGCAAGAATTCTGGATTTCATTGTTAATGTATTGACAATCATTGAGGGACTATGAGGGTGGCAGAAAGACAAGCTCTGAATTACCTTTTAAGATAAATCACATTGGCTCCTGTGTGGAAAATATATTGGACAGAACAATGGTGGGAGCTGGGAAAATTGAACAGAAAGCTATTAATACAGTTTAAGTCAGAGCTGAGGGGAGCTTAGACTAGGAGAGAAGTCAATAGAGATAGAAAGATGTGATAGGTAAAAAGTAGTCTTTGGATGGACAATTAACGGAATGTAGTAATCAAATGTATACATTGAAAGAGAAGAATCAAGACTGATGTCAAAGTTTTGGGGTGAGCAACTGGAGGTCATTATATAGATAAAGAGATGAATAAAATTGAAAATGGTTTAAAAGGCAAGATCAAGTTTTGCCTTTGAGCACTTTAAGTCTGAGACTCCTGGAGTGCCTGACACTTGGTGGGTGGTTAGGTTGCTTATTTGCTGTTATTACTGTTTTTGTTATGAGAATAATAGAACAGGTGGAATATTAGACACATTCATTATTTTCAAAAATATTTTTCAGAGATCAAAAGAATGGGTGTGGAATCTTATTTCCTGCCACCCTCACACTATCTCAGCAATCCACCATAGTATTTTGAATCCTCATATTCATTACAAGTGAGTATATATTGGGTTTTATGTTCCAGTCACACTCAGAGTCTACTCTGAAAAATCTCCTGGAATGCAATCATGCTTGTTCTTCAGTAAATAAGTCATTGGCCCCAAGGACTCAAAACAATGAATTAATTTTAATAAGAAAGCTCAGAGAACCCACCTGTAATAGGTTTTCTCAAAGTGTGTTCCCAAGCAACATCAGTATCTCCTGGGAACTTGTTATAAATGCAAATTTTTGTGCTCCACCCCAGACTTACTGAGTCAGAAACTCTGGGGGATGGGATAGGCACTTTGTGCTATCACAAGCCCTCCAGGTGATTCTGAGGCATGTTCAAATTGGAGAACCAAACATACACACGCAAAAAAAGAAATGACTTTAGATACCAAAGTACATCCTTCCCAAAAATTAACTTAAATCACAGACCTAACTAAGATGTAAAATTATAAAACTCCTAGTACATGACATAGGAGAAAGCTGGAAGATCTTGAGTATAATGTCATCTAGAAAGTTGATTCTCCCACTGATCTAGAAGAGTCACAAGAAGTCATTTATTGCAATCTTTTGAATCTACGTAGGCAAAATCTATACCATTTTAAATGAGTAAAGCATGATTTAAAGGCTAGTACCATTCTCAGAAGTATTTTTACATTAAAATAACAATATTTTCATCTGCATGAACAAATGTACACGGGAAAAGGATTCTCTCTGTTGAGAGTAGGCATGGCACATCCCTGAACCAGGGGCTGAGGAGATGGGTGTGGCTTACCTGACAGATGCCACTGATACACATGTCCAGAGAGTCAGCGTTGCAACGAGTTCCATCCAGTACCTTAGGTGCCAGCTCTACTACCAAGTTTTGTCCTCGTGCATGACACTTGAGTGCACATGGGGCAACAGGATCATTATATCGTGGAAGCCATTCATAGTAATGCCCCTGATACTGAACATCATTGTAGGCTGAACACTGCTGGGCTCTGAAGTCTTCTGCATCCGGAGGGCAGTCCTGGAAGTAGAGAAAAAAGATCACACGAACTCCTCTCAGTGAGAGGGGCCAAAAGAAGGCTGAACAAATTTACCAGAATTCTATGAGACTACACTCCACTTGATTCTCTCTGGGAGTCACATCATGGTTTCATTATTTTTTAATTCAAAGCTGAATTGATAGCTATGAAATTCCACTGGGATTCTGCAATAGTGATCTATACAGGAGGTCAGCTCATTTATTCTGATCACTCTTTCACCTAGGTGCTTTTTTCCCCCCAGATAATTAAAGCTTACAATACTTAGATGCCAAATTTTGCCCCATTTTAACCATCTTGGTTATAAAGTTTCAAATACATTTCACAGTCACCTTCCTTTTGAAACAAGTGAAACTAAAACCTTTAATTTTTCCAGGAGACTCAAGGTCTTCATAAAAATACTAGTTATTATCCATGCCTTCAGAAGTCATTCCCACAGGAAGGGTTATTCGCCCCAACTTTAGCCCAAAGTTTCTTGGCTTTCTGAGAACTTGTGTCTGTTGCCTTGTCATTGTTGCTTAACTCATCTGCCTTTCTTCTCTTTTCAGGCCCCCCTCCCATCCTTTCACCTGCTTCCAACTGGCTGTTGGATAGACAGAATTAGAAGATAATGTAGCTTATTCAAATTCTATCTAAAACAAAAGCAAATACATTCTAAGTAAATTCCCAGGACACTCTCATAATAATAGTAAGAAGTGCTTGTACAAGTACTGATGACTCAAGAGTCTTTCTATAAAATTAATGATTCCTCCTTCCAGATATTTCCAAAGTAAGATACCGGATGACAAAAATATTACTTGATTCATCAAAAATCTACTTTTGGTATACAAACTCCCTAATTAAAGAAAATAGATACAAATGAGTAATATATTATTTTATATTTTTCTTATTATGAAGGTAATAGATATTCATTGTAAAAACTTTACATTAAAAAGTTTATATTAGTTGGGCTCAGTGGCTCAGCCTGTAATCCCGCGCCTTTGGGAGGCTGAGGTGAGTGGATTGCCTGAGCCCGCAGGTTTGAGACCTGCCTGGGCAACTTGGCGAGACCTCATCTCCACAATAAATCAAAAATTTAGCCAGGCGTGGTAGCGCACGCCTGTAGTTCCAGCTACTTGGAAGGCTGAGGCGGAAGGATCGCCGGAGCCCAGCAGGTCGAGGCTGCGGTGGCCGGGAGCGGCCACTGCACTCCAGTCTGGGCGACAGAGTGAGACTCCAACTCAAAAAAAAAAGTTTATATTAAAAAAAGAATAAATAACAAAGATTCTTGTTCCTAAATCTTTACACAAATCTTGATTATTTCCCAAGGGCTAGTTTAATAAAATTTCTGAGTCAAAGGGTATGTGTGTTTTATTAACTAGCAAAATATTGTCAAATTGCCCTCTGGAAAGGTTTTATTATTATCAGCAGGCTATGTAAGTTTCATTTTTCAGTACCTCTTCTCAGTTTAGTTATTATAATTTTCTAATTTTTTTCTAATCAGAAAAGTAAAACAGAATTTCATTGTTTTCATTTACATTTCCTTTTTATTGTTTAAGTTTAATATCTTTTCATGTATATTTACTTTTTGTATCAATTCTTCAAAAATTTCTTGTTTTATATCCTTTATCCCTTGGAATGCTGGCCATTTTATTAATGTCGGTAGACAACACGATTACCCTTCATAGCGAAGTTATCAACTACTCATCATTTGTGTTGGAAATATTTTCCCCATTTAATTTTGTTTTTAATACTTTGTGAAGTCAAAAAGTTTTACAATTTATGTAGTCAGCTCTTTTACTATTTCCCCTCAAGTTTTCTTTTTATATTAATGGGCTTAGAAATGCTTCCTCGCTCTGCCCTAAGAACAGATACATTCTTAAATGTATTTTGTTAGTTACTTTATAGATTAGTAATTCTATTTAACTATTTGCTATATCTGGAATTTATTTAGATGGATGGTGTGAGGTAGAAATCTAGCTTAATTTTTTCCACAAGTAGTTATTGATAAACTATCAGCTGAGATTTTAAAATATAATTTATTTCATTCCTCTCTCTTTTGCTACTTGACTTTTGTACTCTCCTGTTTGCACTTTTGGCCTCTATAAACTGCCTCAAATCCTTTTTGGAAGTAGGAAATAAATGGACTATAATTAACAGCATTTTCTCTGAGATAAGTTATATTATTTTACTGTAAAACATTCTAAAATCCTATACTGCATCCACATTTTTGTCTTAGCATTATGAATCCAGATCACAGTGGTGGAAGCAAGTCAAACTGAAGAAGACTACAATTGGACATCCTTTCTGTTGAAATGAGGACTTTATCCTCCATCTGGCCATAAAAAACATCATCAGTTACACGATTACATCACCTCCTCTTCCCCTAGTTGTGGCCAGTTTTCTCTATATGTGACTCTTTGAAACCAAAAAACATTGTACACAAGAGCAGGGTGTAAGCAACTTCCCTTGCATTAGGCTCACTGTTGTGGCAAGCATTCTCTAGAGATTGAATGTGCTTGCTGGTTGATTCTTGTCTCAAACTCCATAAACAAATGAAGTTTCACAAAATTAGTAAGAGTTAATTAACAGAAGACAGCTTAGGATGTCAGCCCAGACTTAATCCTTGCCAGAAGGGTGGCCAGGTTTGTACATGTGATCAGTCTTCTTGGCAAGAGCTGACTATCCAGCGGCAAACATCTGGTCCACACCAGGTCACTCTTTTCCAGGAATTTGGAATTGCAACAAAAGAGCCAGAGCCGAGAACTCATATCAATCCAGGGCTGGGTTGGCCATTTCTTTTATGAGATGCATGTTGAAACAAAGCAAGCCAGTTCCCACAGCAGAAAATAATGAATTAGACAAAAAAAAAAAAGGAGAAGGAAAGAGAGTAAGCCATGCATTTCAATAGGAATAAGTAAACCTGTGGTTCCTCATTTTCTGATTCCTGGCTCCAAGGTCTCAAGGCCTGCTTGTGTAAATTCCATTAAATACCCACACATCCATCCAGTACATCCCATTTGTCTTGAGCTAATCTAAGTGGGCTTCTGTTCCTAGCATATGACGATATCTGATTAAGACAGCCTTACGGCTGGACAATGCTTTCTAGTATACTAGGGTTAATTATTGACATTCTCTTTTCATCAACACCCATTTGAACTAGATAGGTCAGGATTATCATTACCCTGATTTTAAAATTGAGAAAACTGTGACTTAGAAAGTCTTTAGTCACCAGCCTGAAGACACATACTAGACTATGACAGAGTCAAGACTGACTCCCAAAGTAACAAGCTCTCTATTATAGAATGTTGCTTTTTAGTAAGTGTGGGGGCCATTGTCTACTTACATTAGATGTTTTCACTCACTTCACATTCTTCCAGTGTCAACACTAAGCTTGCCTAATCTGGCTCAGTTGGGTCCCATGCCCTGACTCAAGACAATCTAAGAATTCCTGTGTATTAAATGGTCTAGTTGACATTTAGGAAGCTTGAATGCCAAACATTCTTCTGCTTTCCATTCCCTGAGAAGCATTTTTTTCATATCAGTTAAGTTCCAGGCAACATTTATTTATTAAATAAACTTTATAGGCTTTGCCTTTTGTGTCGTATGCTGTGGAGAACACAAAAGAAAAATATATCATCTGCCACTCTCACTCAGTGAGCTTGTTATCCTATTGGAGATGTAGCATCTACATGCATGAAATGCATTGAAACAGTGTATTATTATTGGTATTTGTAGATTTACAGTAGGACTGCAGTGAAAGAAATAAAATCATTACATAAAAGTTAAACTATAAAACTGAGTAACTGAAGTTAACAAGGAAAGAATAGATTCTATATCAGCAAGACTTGACTCTAACCTGAAAGGGGTAATATATTTAAAGAAGAGGTGTCAGTCAGGGTATGTAGCCACTCTGGCAAGACACAGAAAAGGAGAAAGAGGCGAAAAGGAAGAGAGAGAAGATGAGGGAAAGGAGGAGGAAGAGGAAGAGGAGGGAGGGGAAGAGGGAGAGGAGGAAGAGGATGGGGGAGAAAGGGAGAAAGAAAAAGGGGAGGTGGCAGCCACAGCCAGATGGCATCTAGCACCCATTCACAAACCATCCTGAAAACAGTCTTCTTCCCCTCCTAAAACCATGGGGATGTATATAGCATATGGTCAATTTATGGGGAGAAGCCAAGACAGGCTGATTATCTAATGAACTGAGTATTTTTACACAAGAGAGACAGACTATTGCCTAACAGACTATTTATATAACAGGATCGGATCATGCTTTAATTTGATTAGACATTTAGTTAATCCCTCCCCAATACCAGATAACTAGTAAATAGGGGGACTTAGCAGAAATATTTTAAGAAAATTTTAAAATTTTAGTTTACCTTCATATTCAAGTCATAGCATAAATTAAATTTTGTGATCCTTTTATATAACAAATGCCAAAATTTCTAGCATAAAAATAAATTCTTGCAAGTGGCCACTATAAGCTAGAGTTGGCAAATAAGGCATTGTGAAAAAGTGAAATCTCTGATGATAATCAGTGGATGGTGCAATGTAAATAAGCCAAGATATGGGAAACAACATGAGTAAAAGAGAAATAGCAGAAATAAATTCAGTAATCTATAAGGGATAGTGCACAGCCTTGTCTAGTAAGGGTGAAAGTTGGGAGCTGAATAAGAGCTAACTCTCATCTGAAGAAAAGAAGGTCTTTGAATGCCCTTGGGAGAAATTAAAAGCAGTAAGTCATCCACAGAAGGAAGTAACATAGAAAAGGCAGCATTTTAGGAGGATCAGTGTGATTGTAGGATGCCCTGAAGATAGACAAGAAAGGAGGTGGCTTTTGCCCAGAGCAGGAGCAATGGCAATAGAAAGAACACCTCCAAGGGAAATACCGAATGAAAAACTGATTTTAGCCATTCATAGGATTCACAATATGAAGAATCTTTTAAGATCACTTCAAGTGTAGCATCATCTAGAAAGTCATCAGGGAGCCCAAAGAGTCCCTGTGTGG